TCAATTCAAATTATGTCTTTATATCGTCTTATGACAAATTAATCTAAACTTAAAAAGAGACAATATTTATTATTGTAGAACCACTTTTAAAAAAAAAATTAAAATTTATATTTGTTCCTTTCTTCATAATTATGACATATTTAATTTTTCAATAATATTACACAAAGCATTAACTTAATTTTGCAATAATGTTACAAAAAGCATTAATTATCGATATCTTTTGAGGTAAAATAAATTAAACAAGTATACACAATTTGTTATAAGACGAAACAATTAAAAATGTTTTTACAAAACTGAAAGGTTTCAAATATATTATGCAGAGAATATAGAGATAATTGAATATAGAGATAGTTGAAATAAAAAATATTATTTTTTCTTAGAAATGAAATAAAATATTTTTTAAAAAACAAAAACTCTGCAATTGTGTCCTTTTGCATCTTTTATATACATTTATTTCAAAAATATTAAAATATTATATATTTCACATACCTTAGCCTTTTGTTTGTTGAATCACAGACGTTATTTTAGCCAAAAGTGTGTTGCTCAATTTTAATCTTGCTTTCTCGAGAGACTATCGATGACTGACAACGTTTACGATACGACATGAAATATTTACATATATAAATCTATAAAGTCACACGCGTAATAATATAAGAGACTTGTTTGATTATTACTCGATCGATAAAAGTTAAAACAAGATCGAACAGTTTCCAACATATACTATGAATTTAACATTTAAAATGTCTCGAAATTAAGCGTACAAGAAATCCAATCAGAAAATTTTCATACATTAAGAAATGAGTATTATTTAATTCAATATTTATAGATATTAAAATAAATTAGTATAAAAGTTAATTTAACATTTGTAATATTAAATATATAATTATAACAATAAAAAAATATTAAAATCAATAAGTAAGTATAAAAAGTTGTTGTATAATATATTAATAATAGATATATATAAAATTAATACACATTTTATACTTACTTATTGATTTCAATTATTTTCTTATTGTTAATAATTATATATTTAATTTTCGCGAATTTTGAACGATTTTTTGATTAGTCAATTATAAACTTCTATAACTTCTCATTTGAAAACTAATGCAGTCTCGACATTTTAGTATTAAAATTTTCATTTCAAAATAATTTCAGAAATATACCATTAACGGATGGCACGCTAAGTCTGGAACACGCTGTATATGTTGTTTTTAGATAATTTTTTAAAAATTGTTAAAATTTATTTACATTACCTATTCATTTAATTTTTTTAAAAAATAATATTGTTTTTAAACTTAAGCAGTATCATCTAGTTCTTAATGCCTTAAAAATTTAAATTTTCTAATTCAATGTGTTTGAAGCTAAATTGGTGACTCACAATATGGTTTCTTTAATTTCATATTATCTTGACTTCTCTTTCTTTCTAAAATTATTTTATTAAAAATACGCGTAATATAAAAGAGAAATGTAATAAAACGAAAAAAGTGTAACAAATATAACATAAGATGAAAAATAATTCAAAAAGAAACAATGTTTTGGAATACAGAAAAATTGAGATAGAAAAATGTATAATATATGTATATAAAAAATTTGTGTGGCAATATTATTCAAATGTTTATATTTACCATTATTTTTGCCATTATCTTTTTCTTATTGGAGCCGAAACTTTTAAAATCAAAGTTATACTTTTTTGTTAAGTAGGATTCTAAATTGATAAATTATAAGGTTTTATTTATTGATAATATTATTATATATAAATTGATAATTATATATATATATATTTATTTAATATTAAAATTATTTTGCTGTAAGTACATGTGTATAATAAATGTCAGAGGATATTATTAAAAATATATTCTATTCTCGCAAATTCATATATTATTCAAATGTATTATACATATATTTAAAACGATATGAAAGAATTCTTAGAAAATGTAAAATAAACATACAAAATAATAATTTAAAATTACAATTAATATTACATTAAATCTCGTTAATATAATATTTGTTATATTACAATAGAATTAAAATTATAAATATATATAACATTATAAATGTGTTAATATTAAAATAATAATAATTATCAAAATTAATAAAAATAGTAATACTAATAATAGAGTAATAGTAATACTACAGTACAGTAATAGTAATACAGTACAAGTAACACTTATAGTAATACTAATTATTAATAATAGTTTTTAAATATTAATAAATTAATAAATTATTAATTATACTTTATATAGTTTATACCTCGTATAGATAATATTAATATATAATATTTACTAAACATCTACGTTTTACTATTTAATATTTAATAGATATACATATATGCAGTAAACATAATGTATATATACATATGTATAAACAGTTGTTACTTGAAATATTGTAGGTGTATTTGCTGAAGTAAAATTTTTAACGATATAGTTAGATCTATTAAACTTTGCAATCTTGCATATATATCATCATAAAATTTCACCTGACTCATCAGTTGTTCAGAACGTGCTTTTAATTTGTTTTTAACACTCAAACAAAATTTCGTATGATAGAGTGCAAATTCTTCTATCTAAAATAAATTTTATTTTTACTAAGCAGTTATTATCATTTTATAAAACAAAAATGCGACAAATTTTTAAACTATTAGCATAATTATATCGATAATATATATATATATATATATATATTTATATAAGATATTTCAAGGAAAAAGAAAAAAATTGTTCATTATGTATGTCTAAAATATTTGTGTGTGTGACATAGTTTGATAAAAAATTAATACAAAAATAAAAAATTTATCAATTTTTTAAATTTACCTCAGAAAGTTGCTTCTGAGAATATGCATTGTTAATCATCACAATTAATGCTGCATTCATAGTGGTTACTCTATATGAAAAAAGAATTATGTAAAGATTTATAATTAACAAAATATTTTTATAAAAAAAAGCTCACAAGAAATTTATATTTACCCAAATGTATTATATGGATTATTCAAACGTATCATATCAATTAAGTTATTAAAATTTTTTAATATTATTTTAAATATTGCTTTGTTCTTAACATGTCTCGCAATAGTAGAAATAAAAATATATATCTCCAAAATATACATTTTATTACGTTTTACTTTTTCTGATGCTTTATCACTCTCAAAAAACAAATTTACTAATGACGATAAGTAAGCGTTCAGGTAATCATAAACAATTGCAGGATCTTCGGAACAACTAAGAAATTCGAATATTTTATGATCAGATTTCTTTTTATATATATTAATTGCGGAATAAGATATATTAACCCACACACTTCTATTCACATATAATAAACCATTACAATATATCCATTTCTGCCACCCAGGCAAAATCCTACGACATACAGAAAAGAAATGTTTTTTATTTAACATATTTATTATATATCATTAATTAGCATATAATCTTTCGAAACATAAAAAATAAATATAATCAAATATTATAATTACAATAAATATAATTAATTATAATAAACATAAATAATAATAATAATAATAATCAACTTGATTTATTTTAATAGCACAACTTTAAGTGTATTTATGAAATATATTTATTGTAACATTTTGCATAAAAAATCATAAGAGTAATATAACCAAAAAAATAGAACTAGATATTTTGTATCTGACATATTTTAATATAAATACAAAATATCTTGTAAAATATTTAATATACTATAATCTTATATTAATATTTTAGGTATAGAATAATTAAATATTTTATAAAATATTTTGTATTTTATTTCAAAATGTCAATTTACAATATAAAATATCTTGTAAAATCGAAAATTCTTGACTATTTTATATTAAATTTTTATGCAGAATGTTTACTAAGAATTTATTTATATAAAAATTATTTTTATATACATATAAATATTGTACAATATGAAAGAAACATATATATACATGTATATATATATATATATATATATATATATATATGATTTTAATAAATGTATATATGTATATATATATATATAAGTTTACATATAAATGGACATACCTTATACAAATGTGTTGTTATATATATAAATACATATATATTAATACATAATTTATATATATATATATATATATATATATATATATATTATATATATATATATATGTACCCAGATAGCCACAGTAATTATTGTAACATCAAAATGATGTCATAATAATTATTATGGCTATCTGAGTATACACATATATATGTATTAAGCTATTCACTAAGTTCTGCGGTTTTTTTAAACGGCTGAAAAACATAACATATAGCGCTTGAACCGCGGCTTATTTCATACCATTTGAAAGTTTAGATTACGCTTGGCATTTCGCCAAAAACGTGGTAGCATTTTGACATGTTTTGTACGCGTACTATTTGGTAATAAAAGATCAAAAAATACATTTTTGATACATTTTGCTATTCTGTTATCAGAAAGAAATAAAAGCGACAGACGCACAACGCGAAATTAGTGATGTGTACGAAAACTCGGTCATAAGCCCCGGCACTTGTTAGAGTTGGTTTGCGCGCGTCCGGAAATATGAACCTCGAAGATGCTCCTGGCTTCGGTCGATCATCCACCACTGATGACCAAATTTTGGCCGCAATCGAAGTTGACCTCTTTAATATCGTTCATACTACTGTTGCAAACTTAAAACAGCTTGGAATGACGAAAAAGATATATGGATGTTTGTTTCAATTTAAAGTAAAAAAGCCGCAAAACTTTGTGAACGACCTAATATATATAATATATGTGTGTGTGTATATATGTGTGTATACATATATATATATATATAAATAGAACATATACAAGTGCATACAGTCATATATAATTATGTACATATAAATTTCTTATCAGGTAACATATCAAATATATACTTATAAAATTTTAAAGATAGATGTTTATACAAATATATAATAATTTGATTAAAATTTACCTATTTTCTTGAGGATTCTCTACATGCAATCTCAATTGTGTTCTGGTCTTTTCAATACATGAAGTATTGTTCATAATGCAGCTCCATTTTGCAATTTCTGCATTAAATATTTATCAATATCGTATTTACTAGATGCCATGTCATCGTTCATGTGATTTTCTACACGTTCAAACAGACTTTTTATTTTTCCTAATATTGTCTGCAATTGGACAAAAAAATATCTTTTTATTAGATTATATAAAAAATAAATATAATACACACATATATATTACATATGCATATAATAATAAATAAACATTTTAATTCTGTACAACAGCATTATGTAATACATGCGTTTGCAATTGAAAAAATTATGATATATTACGTTACATTCTTTAAAAATTATTAAAAAACACAACTTTTATTAAAAAATTGATTTGTAAAGTAATTAGTAAGATTTCTGTTTGTACTTAAAATATATCACATTAAACGTCATGATTATCGTATTTCTTATATATTTTTATACTTCCAACTCTATTTGATAAGTTTTTGTAATATATTTTTAAAATAAATCATAAAATTCAAATTAATTTGCTTATATTTTATGTTTTATGTTATATTATACTAAGACCGTTTTTGAATAATTCTTCATATTTATTTTATTTTAATTATTAGTTTATTAAAAATAGTTTTATTCACATAAATTTACTGTTGTATATTTAGTTTATTGCATGTCTCATGTTAGATTTTAAAGTGCTTTATTATTTATTTTAGTAAAGGTGGAGATAAAAAAAGTCGATTTCCCGACTATCGATGGAACCTAAAATTCGAGTTCCATGGGTATCTATGAACCATATAAGATGTAAAAATGATGGTCTTTTTTCATAGAGACCTGAGGAAAGTATTGAAAATTTATCAGTTCTCATATTAATTATTTACTATTAATATTCTCTATGTTAGAACTAAAGAATTCTATTCAACAATAAAACAAAAATATTTAAATAAACATACTAAAAAACATAATGTATTTGAATGAGTAATCAGATTTTTTATTCGGAAGTAACTACATCCTGGCGTCTAGTTTCTCTTAATACTGATCCACCATATTGGTTCCGCAATCTTAAATTTTGCGATCTCTATATTAAAACATTATTGATCTCGAAAACTATTTGATAAGTGTTTAACCAGAACTTGGTTTCATTGAAAATTCATCCATATGTCATCGATTTTAGTTGTCTTTAGATCGACCGAATGACGCTATTTTCAATAGTTTTGTTAAATTTTCAATACTTTTCCCAGGTCTCTAAGAAAAAAGACCATCAGTTTTACATCTAATATGGTTCATAGGTACCCATGGAACTCGAATTTTAGGTTCCATCGATAGTCGAAAATTCGACCATTTTTAACATCCACCTTTTAAAGTTAACTTTAATTATATATGATTAATTTATATACAGATACTTGAAGATAATTTTATTTGATCCATTTATAAATTTATTTGTTGTATTCATATATTTTTAAATGCATAATAGAGTTTACTGCATTTTAAATATTAATTCAACCGACTTTCGGGCTGATATTTTTTTCGTCTATAACTTTACATGGCAGTTAAAAAGGGGAGCACATTAATTGAAGAACTAAACCAAAAATACTATTTCTAATTAGGGAAAAAATTAAGTTTCGCAAATAACAGACGTAAAAGACATCGCGTAAGTCTCCACAGCCGGTATATATATATATATATATATATATATAAATATATATATATATATATATATATATAAATATATATATATATATATATATAAATGATATGTTAAATATTAATGTATAAAAATAAAATATTTAATTTTTTTTTTAAATATTTCTAGCAAACATCAAATATTTATTAATGTTTTGGATTTCTCTAATATGTAAAAAAATTTATCGATATAATTTAAAATACCTTAAATACTTCTGAAGGATAGAGTCCAGAATTAAGAAATGGAATAATATTTGACATGTATTCCAGAGCTTTAAACATAGGATACCATGCCACATAATCTTTCTCTTGCCATAAATAACTCGAGAGTTCCCAAAATGTGGAAAAATTAAGTTTTCTCTGTATCATCAAATGGAATGCGTCATCGATGATTTGGGCTCGATTCAGAACATGTATATTTATATACTGTTCAGAATTTAAGTAACGCGCAATTAATTTCCAATTTTCGCCATCATAATTGACGCGATAAAATCCTGTACACGGCACACGGCAAAAATTTTAATATTAACTTTTTTGATCAAAATATAAGAAGTAAAACATATTTCAAATATATATGTTTTTATTTTATGATGATTTAAAAGCGTATTAATTGTACTGGAAATTGGGCACATATTTTACAATAAATAATGGCAAATTCTTATATATTGTGAATTATAAAATAAAATGTCGATAATTGAAAAAAAATATACAGTTCTGAAAAACAGATTAATTTATAAAAGAATTATATAAACAACAACTGAGTAACAATACAAAAAAGTAACAATAGTTTAAATTTTTAGCATTATTTTAAACTAACCAAGGTGATTCTTATAAATTTTATTGTGCAAGCTAACTTTTTAGCACCCAAAAATCTATAAGGAACACTTTGTCTGTTTTAAAATAATTTTTTGTTATAAATTAGTATGACATTTACATGCAAAGTGTGTTTAATCATAAATTTTAATATTGCGGAAATATTGCGGAATACTTTAAAAGAATATCTTTCATATTATTGTTTATTGTTTGTCGTGTTTACAATGTATTTACAGTTCTTTATAGGAAAATGTAAGAAACAAAATAAATGAAAAAGATATATTTATTGTATAATAACAAAACACGAACATATTAAACTTCGTGATTTAATATTTACCAATTTGTTGTAAGTTGAATATTATCCACTTTTTTGGATAAAAGAACTGTATTTCCCACTTTGGATTTGAGGGCGTCAACTAAATATCTGAACTAGTTACATTAAAATTTATATTTGCTTCTTCAGTAAATGTGACAAGTATACAATATGGATTCTGATCCATGTCGGCCTGAGACTCTAAGAATATTTTTGCACTATTTCTAGAATAATATCGTGTAACATTTAGCACGGGATAATGCTGCTGCGTAGACCAAAAAGCCATAATCTTATTTATGTTCAAATTATATTTTATTAGTTTTAATACACTTCTAGGAATCGGCATAATGCTCCATAAATCATTGAAAGTATTTGCCATATCAGGAGAAATAAATCTGTAAAATTTAAAAATGTGATAACACCATACATCACTGAGTAGCAATTAGAAAATATAAAATTATGATAATTATTCGTTCTTATTGATATTGCTAGATAATTCACTTAGATTAATGTCGATTCTCACGAAAATCAAATTATGATGACATAAAGAACAAAATAATAAGTTTTATATACACATCGTACAAAATAATCTACATTTCCAAATTAATAAAATATAAATAAATAAATAGCATTAAAAAATGTATACACGTGTTTAAGTGTATTTTGTAAATATATTGTTTTAATATTTATATTAAGTTTGTTATATTTAAGACACCTTAAAATATATTATTTGAACATTTATATAAATATACATTATATATATTTATAATGTTTATCTCTGTCTTTATTCATTTATTAATTAACAAAGTTAATAATAATATGCAATATTTAATATCTTTTTTATTTTTTTATGTTTGTTACTTATAGAAGTTTGGTTTGTCATTAAATATATTTTCATATGTGTTAATCATTCAGTTTTTATCTTCTTTAGGAAAGTTTTTTTAGGTTTTGCTATTATTTTGTATTTACTTTCCTGTATGTGTGTCTCTATGTGTTTTAATGAAAAAAATAACACCATATTACAGCTAAATATTATTTTAAACCAAATAAAATAATTTTTCTAAACTTTGACTTGTGAAAACGGTGTCGAAAACTAAATTTTTCATTAGCATTTCAGTTCTCCAAAATAATTGAGATTTAATGTGTAAAAAAAGATTTTCTTGCAATATTTTTGAGATTATTTATAAAAAAAAATAACGTTATCTAATAATATGATCATCATATCAAGGAGAGAAGGATGAACGATAGTTCATTCCTTATAATACACATCATTCGTATTTCAATATCTTACTTTTCAGTCGTGTTGAAAAGGATTTAAATACAGAGTTTTGCTAAATTTCCAACTAGTGTTAATCATATTATCTAAAAAATCTCAATTATTTAACAAAACCATTTCTTACATAATAAATCTCAATTATTTCGGAAACCTGACGTACTGATAAAAATTAGTTTACGTCATCGTTTTCAACATAAAATAGTTTCCATAATTTTATAAGATATATTCGAAAATTTTAAAGAAACACCATCTAAATGAAAATAGAAAATAAAAAATTTTTTATAAACTAATATTATTATATTACATTGTAAGTATTACTTACTTCCTGTTTAAATATTTGTCAATACTTGTCCAAAATACATTAGATGAAATTATTCTTTCTAACATGCGCCATAAAGCTGCTCCTATAATATAAATATAAAATATGTTAAAAAAAATATATATATTATAATATATAATATGTATATATATATATATATATATATATATATATATATATATATATATATATATATATATACACATTTATTTACAAATTTAACCTCCATCATATTCATAAATTCATAAACAGAACTATTATAAACTAATATAATAAAAAAAGAACTAATTTTAAATTTAATTTACTTTTACTTTTAGCAGAATAAACATTAGAAGAAATAATTGTAAATTTAAAACTTTTTATCTTTTCTTAGATATTTATAGTCAGCCATTCCGACTATTGTTTACAACTTATTTACAAATTTTATTAATGTATTTGTAAATATACTTTATACCAATCAAATTACATTACATAAATCAAATACACATGCAAACATACCTACAGTATAAGAAAACGGAGAAGGTGAATTTATTTTAAACATATAGTTAGAATTTTCCTTAAAATAATCTACAGCAAATGAATGTAAATAATGAGAATCATCTCGAATTTGAACTACAAACAAGTCCATCATCCGAGAATCTGGATATATCTGCAGAAAGAAAAACGAGATTGGATAAATAATGTTTGATTGGATTAATAATGTTTATTAATGTGTACAATTATTTGTTATTTCTACAAAAACTTTTTATATTTAATAAAAGCTTTTATATTATTTAAAGCATTTTTATATTAGATATTATAATTTTAAATATATTTATAGAATTTTCATAAGTAATATGTAATAATTTGAAATTAAAATATTATTAAAAATATTATTACAGTACATATACTATCCACAAGTTCAGAAACATCTTACATTTTACAGTTAAACAATTGTATGACAGCGATCTGTCATAAATATAAATGTTATTTAAATATTTTACGTTTTTTTACAATTTATTCATACAAAAAATCTGCACAGATCGCTGTCATACGATTGTTTAACTGTAAAATGTAAGGTGTTTCCAAACTTGTGGAGGGTACTGTATTTAAAATATTTATTTGTGTGTTTGTGTGCAAAATTTATTTAAATTTTAATAACATAATTTACATGTACTTATTAACTACACTTAATATATTTTTAATAGTTTATATATAATAAAAATTTAAATAACAGATTTTTTTTCTATAATTAGCTTAATAAATATGAAACAACCTTATCGATGATATATGATTCGAGGAACACAACGAAGCCTTTGTTCAACCACCAGGAAGATTGACATAACGAATAGAAAAAATTATTAAACCAATAATGTAATATATTATGAGCTACTGAACGCATTGCTAAAGTTTTAAATGCAACAGGATAAAAGTGTTTGTTGTAGATAATATTTGTTTTGCTGAAAATTGTTTGTAAATGTAGGATTGTTAACTCTATGCGTTATTAATCATATGTTATTATAATTCGATGTATACGCGCAATTAGATAATATAATATGCGAGTCTTTCGAGGATTCGGGTTTTCGTCAACTCGAATTTTTTTGTAGAAAAACAAGAGTGGGGACGGGATCAGCTGAGCGGCTGAGCGACTTGTAAGAGAGACGAGAGGCAGTCCGCTATAAGCCTCGAAAGGAGAAACAAATAAAATTACAAACCCTGATTCTCTAGATATTTGTGCAGAATATATCTTATCTCCAATACCGAATCCTACATTTGGGGGCTCGTCCGATCTCATAAAACAAAGTGAAAAAGAGAGACTAAGACGGTAGACGAACGCAAAAGTAAAGACGGTAAAGACGAATTTTAAAACAACGAAGTGTAGTGAAAGTGTGTTACGACGATGGAGAATTTAGCACAGATTCCAGCGATAAAAGGAAAAATTAAGACGGCAACAAAGGCCACTATAACAGCATTACATAAACTTATCTTTGAAGAAGAAGGCGATCGAGGAAATCGACAGCGTATACGTGGATTCCCAGGTTTCGATTTTTGCAATGACTCAGAAGAATTTCGTGCTAAACTCGATTATACAAGAAGGCTAACTATCGGAGACTTGATATCAATCTGTAATCTCCTAGGTTTAGACTATACCGGGAATGCAGAGATATTAAGAGAACGCATAGTACAAACATTAATGGATATAAATTCTTTGCAACAAGTGGCAGTAATTTCTGACGACGACGACGATGGAGAGCCAGGGGATGATGACGTGGCGGTCAACGAGAGAGAGGCAAACATTAACAACATACAGGTTGACATTGGAAACAATGAGGCAGCGGCAATATTTCACGGTGAACAAGGACAAGAAAACAGAAATCACGTGAACGAAAATAATACAAGATTCACACTAAGTTATAAGGATGTCGAGGATTCGGTACCATCTTTTGACGGAGGTGATTCTTATTCCGTGCAGCGGTGGATATCAGATTTTGAAGACGCAGCGTCTATGTTCCAGTGGAATAATTTACAAAAATTAATTTTCGCAAAAAGATGTTTGAAAGGATTAGCGAAATTATTTGTTCAGAGTGAAGGTGTAATAAAGTCCTGGACGGAATTGAAGACGGCCTTAACGGAAGAATTTTCTATGAAAATTACCAGCGCGCAATTGCATAAAATGCTCCAAGAACGCAAAATGAAAAGAGAGGAATCCATAGAGGAATATTTTTTGGCAATGAAAGAATTGGCCTCCCGCGGTACTCTCGAAATGGATGCTCTGTTCGATTATGTAATAGATGGCATACAAGACGAAACTCATAACAAAATGATGTTATTTGGAGCCAAGACTATCAGAGAATTCAAGGAAAAATTAAGGACCTATGAAAAAATTAGAAAGGCCTACCACGACAAATCTACGAAGTATTCAAAGGACAAGAATGATAGACCAAGGCAAACATTCGGTAGCACAACACGAGGGGACGGCAAGGAAAGAGCAACGATTTCTGACAAACAAAAAACGGAGACTCGATGTTTCAACTGCGGCATATACGGACATCACTCTAAAGACTGTAAGAAAAAAGCGCTAGGTAAGAAATGCTTCAATTGTAACGAATTCGGTCACGTAGCAGCTAAGTGTTTGGCGCCAAAAAATTACGCGCGAGATTCTAAATCATCGACAGTTAATTTAGTGACGTATTCTCAAAGAATCGAACCGCTTAAAGAAATTTTTATAGACAATATTAAACTATTAGCGTTAATAGACACCGGTAGTCGTGTTAGCTTGATTCGCGAAAATATGTTTCGTAAATTGAAGGGAACGCTTGTACAGTGCGCGCGAACATTTCTCGGTTTCGGCAAGGGCGAATCTAGGTCGCTGGGATATTTTCAAACAATCATTTATATCGATCATGAAGATTATCCAATGACGTTATATGTTGTTCCTAGCGATGCGATGGAAGTCGATGTTGTTATCGGAAGAGACATACTTGAGATGGCTGTACTTAAATTTGATCAAAATAAGGTTATTATTACCAAAATTGTTCCTACAGTATTTATAGCGCATATAGATTTGCCGGAAGAAACAAAAGTTGATCTCGGACTTATTCGCGATGAGAAAATACGTGATCGAGTGGAACAATTAATTAATTCATATCAACCGAATATTTGCAAATCGACGGGTATTAAATTGAGTGTGTCTCTGAAGGATAGCAAACCGATTTCACAAAGACCGCGCAGACTGCCCGCACCGGATAAAAAAATCGTTGAAGAACAAGTAGCCGAGTGGCAAAAAAACGGAATTATTGAAGAGTGCTCTTCCGAATATGCGAGTCCAGTGGTAGTGGCAAAAAAGAAGGATGGTTCTCCGCGTGTATGTATCGACTATCGTCCGCTAAATAAAGTTATAGAAAAAGATAAGCATCCATTACCTTTAATCGAAGATCAAATAGACAAATTAAAAGACGCGCGTGTATTTAGTACATTAGATCTAAAAAATGGATTTTTCCATGTCACAGTAGATGAGTCAAGTCGTAAATATACGGCCTTTGTCACGCATGAGGGACAATATCAATTTTTGAAAGCGCCATTTGGACTTTGCAATTCTCCGCCAGCGTTTCAGCGATATATTAATCATATTTTTAGACCGTTAATTAATAGTAATATAATGACATTGTATTTAGATGATATTATAGTTATTGCTTCAAATTTTGCGGAAGCTTTAGCGAATTTAGAAATAGTATTAAGAACGGCGAGCGATTATGGTCTCGAATTTAATTTTAAGAAATGTAGATTTATGAAAACGCGTATAGAATTCTTAGGACAGATCGTAGAAAATGGTAATGTTTATCCTTCTCCAAGTAAAATAGAAGCTGTCATGCGCTTTCCAGAGCCAAAATCGGTTAAAGATGTTCAAAGTTTTCTTGGATTAACGGGTTACTTTCGTAAATTTATGCCGTCTTATTCCTTGATAGCTAAACCGTTGAGTGATTTATTGCGCGGAAATAATGTATTTTGCTTTAATGATGACGAAAGGCGTGCTTTTTGTGCTTTGAAGGAACTTTTGACTAAAGAACCTGTATTAAAAATATTTAATCCTGATAGTGAGACAGAACTTCATACGGATGCATGTCGAAATGGTTTAGGAGCGATATTATTACAGCGATCTTCTCGCGAAGAAAGTCTTCATCCCGTATATTATTGGAGCCGCAAAACAACGGCTGCTGAAAGCAATTATAGAAGCTATGAATTGGAGGTTCTAGCTGTGATGGACGCCTTAAAGAAATTCCGTGTATATCTGCTAGGTTTGAAATTTAAAATTGTCACGGATTGTGCAGCCTTTACTCAGACAATGAATAAGAAAGACGTCTCAGCAAAGATTTGGCGATGGGCTGAACAAATTGAAGATTTTGACTATGTTTTAGAACACCGACCGGGCACACGCATGAAACATGTAGACGCAATCAGCCGAAGTTTTGTGATGACCATTACGGAGGATAGTTTAGTAGCTAAGATAAGAAAGCTACAAGAAGAAGATCCTGAATGCAACGCGATAACGGAGCGAATCAGAGATAAGCCCGCAGCAGAGTACTCCTTAAGAGGAGGACTAATTTATAAATTCGTTAAGGGCGTTGATCTTCTGATGATACCAGGGTCAATGCATAACGAAATTATCCAAATAATACATCAAAAGGCTCATTATTCTTTGAAGAGAACGATGGACATCATACAAAAGGATTATTATATACCCGACTTAAAAGGAAAAGTAGAAGCATTTATTGGTTCCTGCATCCCGTGCATTCTCGCAAATAAAAAAGAAGGAAAAGCCGAGGGTTTTCTGCATCCTTTGCCAAAAGCCGACTTACCATTATATACATATCATGTAGATCATTTGGGCCCATTGGAATCAACTAGAAAAAATTACAATCATATCTTTGCAGTAATTGACAGTTTTACGAAGTTTGTATGGCTTTATCCTACGAAATCAACAACGTCACGAGAAGCAATAGCCAAATTGGAACTTCAAAAACAGATTTTTGGCAATCCAGTGCAAATAATTTCAGACAGAGGAACTGCGTTTTCTTCAGGAGAATTTTGCAATTATTGTAAAGAAGAAAAGATTAAGCACATAATGATAACTACAGGATTACCTAGAGCCAATGGTCAAATTGAAAGGCTTAACCGCAGTATTATTCCGATATTAACTAAATTGTCTCTCGAGGATCCAACAAAATGGTATCAACACATTCCCGCACTGCAAAATACGTTGAATTCTACGTATCACAGAAGTATCGATATGACTCCTTTCGAATTATTAGTAGGCGTAAAAATGAAATCTAAAGAGGACCTTCAATTAAAAAATTAATAGAAGAGGCATTCCGTGAGCAATTTCAAGAAGATCGTGAAGCACATAGATTGAGAGCCAAAAGTCAAATTTTACAAACGCAAGAGGAAAATCGTAAGACATATAACTTTCGACGCCGAGTACCTCGTAAATATATAGTAGGGGACCTCGTGGCTATTAAACGAACTCAAATGACTCCCGGACGAAAATTACGTGCGAAATATTTAGGGCCATATCGCGTAGAAAAAGCGAAAATTAATGATACATACGATGTAAAACGAATGCGATCGGGCGACGGCCCGATTACGACCAGCACATGTGCGGAATACATGAAACCTTGGTCATAACGCTAGCAATCATTCGAGACGAATAATTTATCAGAATGGCCGATTGTAGGATTGTTAACTCTATGCGTTATTAATCATATGTTATTATAATTCGATGTATACGCGCAATTAGATAATATAATATGCGAGTCTTTCGAGGATTCGGGTTTTCGTCAACTCGAATTCCTTTGTAGAAAAACAAGAGTGGGGACGGGATCAGCTGAGCGGCTGAGCGACTTGTAAGAGAGACGAGAGGCAGTCCGCTATAAGCCTCGAAAGAAGAAACAAATAAAATTACAAACCCTGATTCTCTAGATATTTGTGCAGAATATATCTTATCTCCAATACCGAATCCTACATAAATAAATAATTTATATCAAAATATTTTAAAAGTTAATAATATATATATTATTATATTATTATTATTACTACTATTATATATATTATTATTATTGTTATATTATATAATTATATTGTATTATTAGATTGTTATTATTTGTAATATTAATATATACATATATATATATATATATATATATATAAAATTTCCAAATTAATAATTTAAATTTTTAATGATACACAAAAAGTAAAGTATTATTAAATATTAAATGTCTATATATCAAATGACTATTACGTGATATATCTAAGTTCTTCTGTAATTTAACTATAACATTTAACTGATTACGATGATTTATTAAAATAACTTATCTAAATTATTTTAGATATCAATATATGTTATATATATATATATATGTATTTAACATTTGAAATTCAGACTAAATAAACTCATAAATATGCAGTCATATATATACACATATGTATACAGGGTGTCACTTAATTGACACCCAATATTTATATGGCGATATTTCTCGTAGAAAACTGAGTCGAAAAGTCTTGTACCATTTTTTTCTGTAAGGTATATTAAAATAGTGATTATTAAGTAGCGTATTAACGTTACTGAATAATTACTACTCTGTTACATATATGTATATCTGATTAAGTAAGCCAAAATTTAAATGATTAGTGTAGAAAAATTTATGCTTCGGAATTATAATAAATCTTTACAAAGCTAAAAAAAATATTATAACTTTATTAAACTATAATTAAAATTATTTTTATTTAAATAATGTATTAACTGAATAAAATCACTCCACAATTCCGCCTTTTATACTCGGTCAAGTCTATCGGAATAATTACATAATCCATTTTTGGCTCGCTTCTCGAAATAATCCTCCATTTGTTTTCTAAATACATGCTTACATTTCCCGCAACATATTGCGCCCATTTCTTGTAAGATATCAAATCCCATTTGCTCCAAAAATAGATTTTGTTTATCTTGGAAATATAATCTGATTGCAAATCGAACATTATAATCGTGACATCGTTTACAGAAATTTTAGGTGTCATGTGGAACAGTAAACGTATCATCCCGTTATACGAAAAATCGACTTCTATTGATATCGTATTCGATATAGCATAGTATCTTGTATCCAATTTGACGGTGATGTTAAAAGTTGCTTTTAATTTTGGGTCGTCCCAACACGGAAATAATTGTCGAGCATTTTTCGGTTGAAGTAAAGTTGCGAATAGAAACCTAAATTTTAAAGTAAAAAGCTTTAAATTATAATAACAACAAGTTTTTGCAGTTGTTGTGTAGGAACATTAAAGATTGCAGAATGCACCAAAGAAATTTATAGATAATATTTAAAAAGTATATTATCAGAATGTTTTCTGTTATCTAATTGTAAGTATAATAATACAAATGATCTAGATAAAATTTTGATGTCAGCTTACTTTCGTATAACACTAAAAATATATATTATCCATATCTATGCACCTTAAATAAAAATAATGTTATTCCTATTTAATTATATCTAGAATAATGTTCAGATAATTTGATTAAGAGTCCTAGCACACACACACATACACACACACTTGCACGCACGCACGCACGCACGTACGCACGCAAACGCACACGCATACGCACATACATATATATACTCATCTAGTAGTAAAATTTAAGCAGTGAGCGATAAAAACGTACAAATAAAAAAATGAATATATTTTATATACCTCTTTTATAATTTACATTGTTTTTATAAGCTGTATAATTTTTTACATAAGCAATTTTAAAAATAATGTTATCTACATGATTCACAATATAACTTTATCTTTTATCTAGATATATATAAATTTAAAATAACATTCATCTTATCAAATTTTTATCTCACTTTTATCTAGATAATTTTAAAATCATCTAAGTATACAACATTGTATAATATATGTGTATATAAATATTAGCGTATTTTTATTATTACATGTTTACTCATGCATTATTTATTAAACACTACTTTTATTATTTTAATATACTTACTCTTTATCTGTTCTATCTTCTTTTTTTATATAGTACATTCCATAATGCCGATGAACAAATATGATTTCATATTTTACGTACATTGTATAAACTCCACAATCTAAGTGTGTATTTTCAGGCGATAAATATTTAATGAAATTCAAAGTAGCAAAATTTATCGAATAATCAAAATTTGGAGTATAGATTGTTCCATTAGGCGATTTAAGCATCACTTTCACTATATGCTCGGATCTTGCAATATGTAGAGTTATGTTTGATATTTCACAATTAATATAAAAAGTGGCATTCAACTCGCCAATGAATGAAATGCCTGGTAACACTATCATATCCAGGTTGTAATGAATCGGCATTATACAGTCGTTGTTCGATGAATTACGGTAATTAGGTACTGTATGGCACGGAATTTTTGCGTTTTCATTGGTAAAAGTGGCCATTGTTATTACAGTAATGTATAATAATATATTTAATGACCATTCTAGAAACATCATATTGGATTTCAAAAATCTGAAAATAAAAAATTATTTCTTTGCTAATAGTAAGAATAATTAAACAAAAAAACAAATAAGGAACGTGGAAAGAAAATATGCATAATATCGCGACTGCTATAGAAGTATAAAAAAAACAATAAAACGAAAATAGAAACTCAAATAAATAAAATTGCAAAAAAAATAAGGAATCTAGACTAAAAATTAATAAACTAAAATAAAAATATATATATTAAAATATTAAAATATTAAAATTTTTTAATAAAAAAAACGAAACAAAATCTTTATAAAATAAAAATTATAAAATCTAAAATAAAGAAAATAAAAAAAAATAAAAAGAAAAAAGTTTTTCAAATATTTAAATAATGCGTATTTATAATCATTAATAATAATAATGAACTACAAATTAAATTTCTTTGCTAGTAATAAGAGAATTAAACAGAAAACATAAGTAAGGTAACACAAGTTAAAAATTGCAAAAGAAATACACCAATTTATAAATACATATAGGTTATCAATTTAACAAAGAGTTTGTATGAACAATATAGTTTATCTACTTTGACTACGCAATGTATGTTAATTTTAATTTAAAAAATTTTTTATAAATTCTATTAATAATGTATAATATTCAATTTTGACAATTAAATTTTTTAAAATCCAATATTATATAGACCAATGGCTGATTAGTTTATAATGTATATTGTAAAACATAAATCGTTTATAAGTAAATAGAATTATTAAGTAAAAAAAAAATATATATATAATACTATTTAAATACTAAAATTATAAATGATAAATTAGACTAACCATTGTAAATACTAATGTAATATAATAAATGTAAGTTGTAATACCAAATATTAAATAATTTACACTATAAAAGGGAAGTTGTGTATATTGTTTATATTTAAGTTATATTGTTCTGTTTTTTCAAATTGAAATGTCTATAAAAACTTGTTTATTTAATATTTTTTATAAACATTTGATTAATATTTCTTATAAATCAATTTGATTTTTTATAAATGTTATAATCGGAAAAATATAATAAATAAATTTTGCACAAAAATGTATAAAATAAAATCTTACTTTTAATAACTAAATTTTAACCGTTGTATTTTCAGCTGTTTATCAATATGTTTTGTCATCATAATTATATGTGTCACTGTATGTGTAATGTTTAGTTCCAAAAAACGGATAACGAATTAGCTGTCGCAAAATTAAACTCAATTTAAATTATGTCTTTATATCGTCTTATGACAAATTAATCTGAACTTAAAAATAACAATATTTATTATTGTAGAACCACTTTTTTAGAAAAAAATTAAAATTTATATTTGTTCCTTTCTTCATAATTATGACATATGTAATTTTTCAATAATATTACACAAAGCATTTACTTAATTTTGCAATAATGTTACAAAAAGCATTAATTATCGATATCCTTTTGAGGTAAAATAAATTAAACAAGTATACACAATTTGTTATAAGATGAAACAAATTAAAAAATGTTTTTACAAAACTGAAAAGGTTTCAAATATATTATGCAGAGAATATAGAAATAATTGAATATAGAGACAGTTGAAATAAAAAATATTATTTTTTCTTAGAAATGAAATAAAATATTCTTTAAAAAACAAAAACTCTGCAATTGTGTCCTTTTTGCATCTTTTATATACATTTATTACAAAAAAATATTAAAATATTCTATATTTCACAGACCTTTAGTCTTTTGTTTGTTGAATCACAGGCGTTATTTTAGCCAAAAGTGTGTTGCTCAATTTTAATCTTGCTTCCTCGAGAGACTATCGATGACTGACGACGTTTGCGATACGACATGAAATATTTACATATATAAATCTATAAAGTTACACGCGTAATAATATAAGAGACTTGTTTGATTATTACTCGATCGATGAAAGTTAAAACAAGATTGAACAGTTTTCAACATATACTTTGAATTTAACATTTAAAATTGTCTTGAAATTAAGCGTACAAGAAATCCAATCAGGTAATTTTCATACATTAAGAAATGAGTATTGTTTAATTTTCACTAATTTTTGTACATGTACATTATTTCATATTTTTCTATTTTTATCGGATTTTTGTTTCATATTTATTTCTTTAAAAAGTTTAACTGTACTTAAATTTAATGATAAACGTTTTCATTTTGATAAAATATAACTTTCTATTATAATGGTACATGTGATTAGTAAATAAAATAGAAATGGTTTAATAAGATATGATTATATAAAAATTAGTTTTAAAAAGCACAGTCTTAAGTAATAAAATATTTTTACATAAAGGAAGTTTGATTTATAAACACTAAATTATCGGCAATATTATTCGCCAGAGTTATGCATATAAGAAAATATGAAAAGATTTTTTAGAAGGTGCCGAATAAACATACGAAAATATATATTTTTGACATTAAATTTATTATTACATTTTAATCTCATCAATATAATATTCGTTACTCTTACAGATTTAAATACTTACTTAATATATAAAACTTTGTGTATATGTATATATATGTATGTATGCATGCGTATACATATTACATAATAAATATTATATAAATGTAATCAATATTTATATAAATATTAAAATAAATTAGTATAAAAGTTAATTTATCATTTGTGATATTAAATATATAATTATTAACAATAAAAAAAAAATTGAAATCAATAAGTAAGTATAAAATATTGTTGTATAATATATTAATAATAGATATATAAAAAATTAATACACATTTTATACTTACTTATTGATTTCAATTATTTTCTTATTGTTAATAATTATATATTTAATATTTGCGAATTTCGGACGATTTTTGATTAGCCAATTATAAACTTTTATAACTGCTCATTTGAAAACTAATGCAGCTTCGACATTTTAGTATTAGAATTTTCATTTTCAAATGGTTTCAGGAATATCCCATTAACGGATGGCACGTTAAGTCTGGAACACCTTGTATATGTCGTTTTAAATTTTTAAAAACAATTAAAATTTATTCACCTTACTTAATCATTTAATTTTTTTATAAAATAATATTGTTTTTAAACTTAAGCAGTACCATCTAGTAATTAATACCCTAAAAAATCTAAATTTCCAAATTCAATGTGTTTCAAACGAAATTGGTGACTCACAATATGGTTTCTTTAATTTCATATTATCTTGACTTTTTTTTTTCTAGAATTATCTTATTAAAATACGCGTATTAAATATTCAAATATAATACTAGAATATGTTTAGAGATATAAATTTTATTTTTTTAATTTTATATATTTTACTTTTCTCATTAATAAATATAAAGAAAATATATTTATTTACACATTTTGATTTTATTTTATCTTATTTTATTATTAAAAACTGTAATAGAAAAGAAAATAGTGAAAAAGAATATAACATGAGATAAAAATTAATTCAAGAAGAAGTAGTAATGAAATTTAAAATACAAAAGTATTAAGATAGAAAAAGTGTTTATGTATATAAAAAAATTTGTATGACAATAATATTCAAATGTATTATACATATATTTTAAAAAAATAAAAAAAATTTTTAGAAAATATAATTAAGACATTCAAAATAAAAATTTAGGATTACAATTAATATTACATTAAATCTCGTTATTATAATATTTGTTATATTACAATAGAATTAAAATTATTAATATATATAACATTATAAATGTGTTAATATTAAAACAATAATAATCAAAATTAATAAAAATAGTAATACTAATAATAGAGTAATAATAATACTACAGTAAAGTAATAGTAATACAGTAATAATAACACTTATAGCAATACTAATGTAAAAAATTAATAAATTATTAATTATACTTTATATAGTTTATATCTCTTATAAATTAATATTAATATGTAATATTTGCTAAACATCTGCGTTTTACTATTTAATATTTAATAGATATACATATATACAGTACACATAATGTATATATATGTATGTATAAATAGTTTGTTACTTGAAATATTGTTGGTGTATTTGTTGAAGTTAAACTTTTAGCGATATAATTAGATGTATTAAGACTTTGCAATCTTTGCATATATATCTTCATAAAATTTCACCTGACTGACCAGTTGTTCAGAACGTATCTTTAACTTGTTTTTAATATTCAAATATAATTTCATATGATTGAGTGCAAATTCTTTTATCTAAAATAAATTTATTTTATAAAACGAAAATACGACAATTTTTTAAACTATTAGCATAATTATATCCATATATATATACATATATATATATATATATATATATATATATATGAAGTATTACAAAGAAAAAGAAAAAAATTGTTTATTACATATGTCTAAGATATATGACATATTTTGATAAAAATTAATACAAAATAAAAAGTTTATCAATTTTTAAAATTTACCTCAGAAATTTGCTTCTGGGAATATGCATTGTTAATCATAACAATTAATGCTGCATTCGTGATGGTTGTTCTACATAAAAAAAAATATGTAAAAATTTATAATTGACAAAATATTTTTATAAAAAAAAAGCTCACGAGAAATTTATATTTACCCAAATGTATTATATGGATATTTTAAATATATCATGTAAATTAAATACGTGAAATTTTTCAATACTCGTTTAAATATTGCTTCGTTCTTAACATGTCTCGCAATAGTAGAAATAAAAATATTAATCTCCAAAGTATTCATTTTATTATGTTTTACTTTTTCTGATGCTTTATCACTCTCAAAAAACAAATCTACTAATGACGATAAGTAACCGTTCAGGTAACTATAGACAATTGCAGGATCTTTGGAACAACTAAGAAATTCGAATATTTTATGATCAAATTTATTTTTATATATATTAATTGCGGAGTAAGATATATTAACCCACATACTGCTATTCACATATAATAAACCATTACAATATGTCCATTTCTGCCACCCAGGCAAAATTCTACGGTATACAGAAAAAGAAATGTTTATTTAACATATTTATTATATATCATTAATTAACATATAATTTTTTAAA